ATGCATGCGCGAGCATCATGGGCAAATTTCTACTGGTGGCCGAAACAACTATCCTACCAAGGCTTCATGATTATTCTTTCAGAAAGAATGGACATTATTTGATAATAACCATCCTACTAGCGAATGCAAAAGCATTGCAGGAAATGTTTGATGCAATTTTTAGGCTACAAAAGCACCCCCAGAGGAGTTTGTAACCCATTGATTTCTTCATTATCTCTACTTTTATGACGCCCGGAACTTATTTTACTGTGAGATTTTTTAATAAATAACAAATGGCCATAATTTATGTCGCTTTCAACATGCGTTAAAAATCTCATAAGTTCAGTCTAGTTTTAGTTTATCTGCCTGATCAAGCGCTGGAAATGGATGATAGCGCACTATCAGGGAACTTGCAATATTCTCTCCTGAGGTCAGTTATTATACAGGCCCCGAGCACTTTCAACTGAGTTTGCTTTGCAGACCTTTTGCAATCGAGTCCTCATGTAGTGACGCATTAGACTATGTTGAAAAACTTCTGGCTTTACTTTGAAAGAGACACGAGAACGGAGCATATATGAAGAAGAAAGTGAGTTGGGCTTGTACTCTTAAGTTAATGTTCATTTCCAAGGTGGTGGATTGAACTAGGTATATTTGGCTCGATTTGAGATGGCACCATGTAAATAATTTACATTACTTCCCTTTACGAATACTTTCTTTGTGAATACTTTCTATAAGTGTTTATAATGGCTAGATCTGAAGGAGACAAGAAAATCAACAAGCCTGGAAGAGCAGATGGTAGAAAATTGTTTCTCTACATTCGAAGATGTTGAGTGTTGAGTCATTAGAGGAAAACTGTGAACTTGCCCCGAAGGATTGGAGTAATTTCAAGATCCCAACCGGAGTCTTGCTCAGCTATTGGCCAAAAGGTACGTTAAAAATTGTGTTATTAACTGGAATACTACGTTCTCAGGATAAAGTGTTGTGTATGAATAGCTACAATCGTCCTACCGCATTTATTCGTACATTACAGTAACGCTCGCGTATACATTAACCAAAAATGCGAATAAAACGCGCCAAAAATCGAATGCAATTGTGAATAAAAAAAAAACGTGCGCGTCAAAAAGTCGCGCGCATAAGCTTGATAATCTGCCTCAATAGTATGTATGCGGTAGTCCTTTTGTTTTTCTATTGTTGGCGGTTTATCGTTTTAAAGAACAGACTACAATGTAATAGCACTAAAGTACTAAACGGCTGCCAACAACAAGCAAACTTGTTCGTCTCAATCACTGTTTGCACCGACCTTCCCGATATGCTGTTACCAATGCGACTTCGTAATCGGAATATATAAATGATTTATCAATTCCCAACGAAATTTTTCTAAGCAAAATAGATTTTTCTCACTTCGTATAAAAAAACATCCGTCGTAACGGCTTGGGAATTTGTTCAAAACAAATTTATTCTCAGAGTATCACAATTCGGTAGAATCAGCCGAGGCGTCCATTTGTAACTTGTTGCCGCGCTCTGAATGCAAACCCACACGCAAATGCTTATTTCATAGCTTCTTCTCATCAGTGAACATGCTTTTCTCGAAAACTGGTTCATTTATCTCACCATTTAAACAAAAACTAATTAATTCTACTCGCTTATTTTAATGGTGTTGTGTTACGGTATGGTTACCGTATGCGACTCGCATGTAAATTTTTTATGGGAACCAGATTTGTTTCTCGTTTTGATTTTTGTTAAATCATTGATTAACGTTCACCAGATTGCTTGAAAGCAGGGAGGGAAAAATTAACTGCAGGCAAAACATTAATACGCAATAATC